GAAGGAAGGAAGGAAGGAAGGAAGGAAGGAAGGAAAGGAGAGAGGGAGGGAGGGAGGGAGGGAGGGAGGAAGGAAGGAAGGGGAAAGGAAGGGAAAGAAGAATTTCTTGGCCTTTGTGTATTAGGGAGATGACATATATAGATGATATTACAATACAAATTAGAGCATGTCACGAAGTATAAGTTCCCCAGCATAATGGAATCTCAGAAGTAGGAATGAATTCTAATTGGTACAATCAGGGAAAGCTTAATGAAAGAAACACATTAGAATGGGCTTTGAAGGATTTATTAGTCTTCGTGTTTGTTGTACTAGAAGACAAGAGGATAATTTTCATTTATCTACTTTTTTGTCAGCAAACAGAGACCCCGTAGTAAAAATCCTGGGCTCGGGGCTTTGAAGGATTTATTAGTCTTCGTGTTTGTTGTACTAGAAGACAAGAGGATAATTTTCGTTTATCTACTTTTTTGTCAGCAAACAGAGACCCCGTAGTAAAAATCCTGGGCTCGGATTATGGTACAGTCAAAGAAGACTCAACTGCATTAACTCTTCTTGATAAGATTACTAAAGACGATGATCCTGACAGAGAGATTAAGGTGAAGATTGCTGTGCTGCTTAAGCAACTGGATCTGCACCTACTCAATCATTCTCTAAGACATATTTCATTGTGAGTCTTTTTAAAAAAGAATCCGCTAAAAATTAGTTACAAAAATTGCTTTCAGAGTTTTAGCAAAAAAAGCCAAAAAACAAAAAAACAAAAAAAAACCCACAAAAAAAAATGAAGTATGGAAGTTATTGCTATTGAATTAACATATTTTATTAGAACAATATCTTAATTTTATTTATATAGTTCTAAGAATTAAAATTTGGAGGTATCATTGCTAAAACACTCTAGTAGGGTTTCATCCGATTCTGAAGACATTAAGTGGGCTTGTTATTTTCAAAGGATCTTAAGACTATTACATAAGTTATTAAATTATAATGCAAATATGTGGAGTTTGTATAATTCAAAACTTGTTAATTTTTCTAACTTTTTTTTACTATTGTAGTGTTATCATTGAGAAAGAAAGTGAATATTAAATTGAGCATATTTAATGTTACATTAAATAAAAATCAGTCTACAGCCATACCACCCTGAAGACGCCCAATCTTTTCTGATCATGGAATCTAAGCAGGATCAGGCCTGGGGGAGGGAGGAAATAGAAATCATTAATTCTTTGATGTTTTGACAGTGATTATTACATGGCTAAAATTAACTGCAATTTTAATACAAAAAAAAGATCTTCTCTGATATAATGGAATGTGTTCATGTGTTTTCCTGTAGATTCTGTTTTCAAGCATTTAAACTGATTTTTGAATCATTGTTTGCAGAGAAATAAACTTAAATCCAGTGGCTTTTAAGAAGGATATAGAGATGCTCAAACGTTTCTCAGGAAAAGGAGAACAAACAGTCTTGGAATCTATCGAATATACCTCAGGTTTTTATCTTCTGATTCATTTAGTATTATTGACATTTTCATAATTATATTTTCAGAATGCTTTCCATGCCTACATTACAATGAAATATTTAAGAAAATGAAAATGTAACATCTCAACAATATTGATTTTGTTGAAACCAACACATTTTGCAAAACTCTAGGTTAAGAAACTCCTCTTAATTGCTTGGTGATTGGTTTCAGATTATGAATTTTCAAATGGATGCCGGGCCCCACCTTGGAGACAACTTCATGGGGAAATTTGTTATGTGCTGGTGAAACCACATGACGCTGAAACTTTGTGCATTACTTGTAGCGCAGAAGGAGTATTTCTAAATGGTGTAAGTAATTTTTAAAAAACATAACTAAAGCCAGTGGACTTTGGTTCTTATCTAGGTCTCCCTAAATGCTGGCACATGTCAAGGGTTGTATCCTGATGACGGCAGAGAATGAGATACTGTTCTGTGGGACTGAAGCAGATTCCCCTGCTATGCATTTGCTGGGCACATTCAAAATTGCCTCACGGTTAGCTGCCTTAATTACCACTGCAGGTCATTAAGCCTGTCTTCTAGGAAATGGGGTTCAAAGTGACCCATGCCACTTTATAAAACTAAAACCTCTTTAACATAATCAGTTCGCTGATTACTTACACAGGGATTAAAGGAAAGAAAAAGCAAAAAGGGACACTGAGGTAATACAGAAGTAGCAACTGCAGCTTCTATCCTAAGAGTTGAAGGACAGAGGGGAGCACAGGACATGCCCCATGAAGCTGGGACCCGGACCTTGGGGGAGGAGCCACTTCCAGACTATGCTGGTCCCCTCAGGTCTCAGACAGTGTCCATGAAGCTGCGACCCAGATCTTGGGGGAGGGGCCACTTCCAGGCTG